CTCCAGATTTTCACTTACTACATCTTTTTAGATCACCTTTTCAGATACTAATTTTCTCTACGAACTTTATTGTTTATATCCATCCTTTAACACCATACTATTAACACAGCTGCTACCACATTTTTTTTCATAAGATCAGCGTACAGACACTGATTTTCTTACCTGGTACTACAGAGTTCTGCGTCAAACTGGATGAAGAAGGATTTCCACTGCTGCTGGGGTCTGCATTCACTGAGGTTTGTGGTTCCTCCTGTTCAGACCTAAAAAAAATAATAGCATTGCCTTCAAGACAGGCCCACAATTGCCCTACACATCTTTTCCGCAAAGCCTCTTTAAAGCAGCTTGTTAGTCACATTAATAGAGTGCAATTTTGCAGGTCTGTGATAAGCACACTGTGTGTATCACTGTATGCCAACCAATGAAAAAGGAACAGTACAAACACTCAGCTTTAAAACCTCTCAAGAACACAAGAGATAACAGTATCTTAAAGTCCTGAATTACTTGCTAAAACATTAGAGGTGGTTGCTGCTTCTTTATGTGTAGTTAACTCTGCAGCAAAAGATTAGTTCTGGGCACATTACCATACCCTCTGTTTCAAAGAAAAGCACGTCCTTGAAAGTAGGATAACGCTTTAGAGCATGAAGTGAAAGAAATGGCATGGATAAAAAAAATGACATCAGGTCAGAAGTATTTTGCTATTGTCTTCATGACAGGAAGCTCATGAAGGAGCTTCAGAAGCATGCAAACCAAGGAAAAAATTCAGGAAAACTCTAGGAAAGAAAAAAAATGTAATCAGTGTCACAGTGAAGTAGTAACTGCAGCTTTCTTCTTTGAGAAGCCATTTAAACAGGCACAGTCAGTACTGAGGGGTGAAATTCCACTGGGATGTTTTCTGAATCGCCCCTACGATTCTCACTTTTTGAGACAGGTCATCTTAAAAGCATTAGGCCAAAATGTTTTTCATGAGTCATAATTTACTGAAACAAAATAACAAGGCAATTCTGGTTTTAATACCAGCTCTGTTGCTGTTCAGTTATACAAGTTTGCAATTGTTAAAGAATGTAACTGATATATTGGGCGGGGAACCACTGAATTCTAGCACTTGGGTCTAAAGCTTATTAGTGAAATACTTTATTCTATATTTGTGAGTTAGGGGCCATTTGCATTTCTAACGTTTTACACAGCTAGAATTAATGGGGCAACTCATACACGTGTGCATATCTTTCCCTGAAAATCCTTTTTACAAGAAATGCTTGTAGTATTAAAGGCCTGGCCTGCTTTACTCCTGTAAGAGACCAATGACAGAACACAGCAGAGAACGAGAGCCATCCACATAGCCCTAACACAGGTAAGCAGAGGTTCTAAACTTTAAAACGTCTTTTTCTGAAAGCATCGGCTCTCAAGGCAACACAACTCCTAAGACCTCGTCCCAGTTTCCTGACCTATGTGCGGCACTATCAGCCCCAATACTTCACGTGTCTTTAAACTTCCAGGGCGATTTAAGGCTCGTTTTTACCCCGGCGGTCCCTGAGGCGCGAGCTGGATGGCAGGGAAGTGCTTACCCACGGTTCTCTTCTCCCTGAGCCCCCTGCGTGCTGCTGACGGGCTGTGGGGGAGATGAGACCCCCCGCAGCCCCCTCCCAGCGGGGGCACGTTTGCAGGCCCGGAGGGGCCCCCCCAGCTCCCACACAGCCCCCGGCCCGGCCCCCCCACCCCCGCGCCCCCACTCGCCTGTCGGGGCGGTGTCCGGGCCGCCTGCGCCCGCGGGGCCGCTGCCTGTGCCCGCGGCCGCTCCAGCCCCAGCTTCTCCTCGCCTCTCCAGCGGCCTCCCCGCATGGCTGCCTGCGGAGACAACGGACACACACGCGTGGGGGTGCCCGCCGTGCCAGCCCGCCTCCGCACCGGGGCTTTCGGCGGTGGGAGCCCCAGCGGAGCGCCTCGCCCCGGGGCCGGGGCCGGGGCCGGGGCCGGCCCGGAGCCGCACGCCCTGACGCGGGGCCGCAGCCCCCCCCCGCCGCCCCTCACCGCTTCCACACAGGCGCCCCGCCCACCCCGGTGAACGCTCGCTGATTGGTCCTCAGCGGGCCCTGCCGCCTGACAGGCAGCTCCCTCAACAAATAGGAGGGCAGCGCTCCGCCTGCCTCGCTGCCTGCATCTCGAGGAGGGGCGGGAGGGAAATGGCGGCCGGCGGGAGGCGCGCGCGGCTCTGAGGGGGCTCTGAGGGGGCTCTGAGGGGGCTCTGAGGGGGCTCTGAGGGGGCTCTGAGGGGGCTCTGAGGGGGCTCTGAGGGGGCTCTGAGGGGGCTCTGAGGGGGCTCTGAGGGGCTGGGCGCCGCAGCAGCCCCTTTCCTCAGCTCTGGGAGGCTTGGCTCTGAGGGGACGTCCCAGCTGGAACGGTTGCACTTTACTTTTACATAGCAAGCTTGCTATGGTGCTTGACGTGAGAGTAACTTTGGTGAGGTAATCAAGGAGTAATGACTTCAAACTAAATACGGGCAATCTGAGGCTAGGCTCTGTGAGGAAATGCTTTACTCAGAGAGCAACGAGGCCCTGGCACAGGCTGCCCGGAGAAGCTGTGGGTGCCCCATCCCTGGAGGTGCTCAAGGCCAGGCTGGATGGGGCTTTGGGCAGCCTGGTGTGGTGGGAGGTGTCCCTGACCATGGCAGGAGCATTGGATTTATGTCATCTTTAAGGCCCCTTCCAACCCAAACCATTCTGTGGGTCTTAAATCCTCTCTCTCTCACTCGGCCTGTGTTTTAAGTTCAAAATGCATAGAAATAGAAGTGGCCAGTGAAAATATACCTTTAGGGGTAGGAACAGTCAGGGAACTCCTTTGTAGCTCGTGCAGCTTGTGAACTCTGTTTATTTGCCTCTTTAAAAGGCAGAGGACCAGTGTGGTCTGGCTCTAAGGCATTTTTCATCGATTAGGCCTGTTTTTCAAGGTGGTTTAGCAATACCGGCTTTTCAGCTTCCACAAGGTGATTCTGAACTTGCACACATTAACTGGAGGGTAGAGTAAAAGGCCCAGAGAAAGCTGCATGAACAGGAGCTGTTAAGCCATTAATCCTGCGAATGCCGTAGACTGGATCCAGAATGACAGGTTCGAAGGTATTGATACTTGATCATCTGAAATTTGATGATATGCCTGTGGCCAGGAGTCTAGGAAATACAGTTTTCCCTGGTGTTTCTGACTTGTACATAGTATTTCAGAACATCAAATGTTTTACAAGTAATGTTATACCTGTGTTTTTTTTTTTTTTTTTTTTTGTTTTTTTTTGCTAGCCTTATTTCAGCTTTTTAATTTCTGATGCCAGCGAGCAGTGTTAAAGGTTTTGTGACCAATGCGCTGTTTGTAAGCTGCGGGTTTGACTCCACCAAGATAGAATTACCTTCGGGGAGAAGTATGATAAATGATCTGTTTTCTCACTTGTATTGCAAGCTTATTATAGAAGCTTGTACTTGTAAATAGGCTGGAAGAGAATTCAGAGGTCACTGGGTTGCCCTGTGTGTGTATGTATGCAAATAAAATATATAAAACAAATAAAAGACCCCCTTCCACACATACGCTTACCACCCCTCCATTGTTCCTTAGCAATTGTTTGTTTAATCTGTTTTAAGAACAGATTAACAGAAACAGCCTTTTGGTTCACTGTGTTCTGGTTATTTTGTTGTATCGCCCACTGAAAGATTTTTCAGATGTTACCTGAGTGCTTATTGCTGCAATTTAAAATCATTGCTGCTTTTCCTTCTGCCTTTCATGGATGTAGAAAACATTTTTTTCCCTCTTGTCTGCAACCATATTACATATCTGAAAATTGCTTATGGTGTCCCACTTGAGTCTTTCTCTAGATTAAATGCTGGCTAAAGAATGCCAGTTCACTCAGGTATTATGGATGACGATTCCCAGCTCCAGTCATTCTTGCTTCCTCTTTTGGACCCTTTCCACAGGGAACACAACTTCCCTTGAGTCATGTTCCCCCAAAGGCTTTCCTAGTGCTGGCTGTGTTGCAGCCTGTACTCACGTAGAGAGCTCTGCGATGTTTTATAGTGGCCCAACTTTCACAAAGCTTAACGATCAAAAAGTAGGGGAAAGTTTCAGTTTGAGAAGCACAGCACAAGCGGTTATTTTCAGTCTGACTTTGTGCAGTTGGCTGTGCTGGGGCTGTTGCTACTGAATGCTGCTCTTCTTCAGCCAGGTCTTGCTCTGCAGCATGCAGGCTGACCTCAAGTTCTGTCCCCCATTTGCTCTGGTGTTTTTTCTATTTATGTCACTTGGGACTAGAGCTATACCTGGGTAGCCCAGCTTTCAGTCTGTACTTCATTTGCTAATTAAATATAATTGTAAATTGCATTAAAACATTCTGTAAAAAACAAACTTTGTTATTGACATTGGAATTTATGCTTCAGACATCGGGTTGGATTATTGCAGTTCAGTGTGTTGTCTCTCAGCTGAGCTGCAATACCTGAGCCTGTGTCCATTTTAATAGTCACTTGTGAGAACTAGGGTGAGTTTGCACAAATGTCTTTTGTGCTGAGGATTAAGCTATGTATTTTATCTCATACTTGTTGGGGGCTAAATATATGTGGTCTGCTAGTTATAGCTTAGCTTACTCAAGGCAACTCATTAAGCTATGGTAACTGGAATGTGTACAGGGGCCCACGAGTGTGTAGGGTAATCAAAAGCAGGATTTTGTCTAATGGTACAATTAAGCCTTAATTTAATTCCAGTGAAATCAAAGCAGTTACATTAAGATCCTGTGTAACCTTGTATGCCTTTTGCCTTATGTGCTGCAGTAGTTCTGCAGCAGCACTCTTGAGAGCTTTAGATATTTTTGCATATGAAAGTTGCTGCTTGACTTTATTTTAGTTCTTAGAATATTTTGCTGTCCCACAGGGTAGATCTGCTGTCCATGGTGAAAATTGTTTTTGGGTTCTCCTGCATCAGATCATGGAGGAAGGAACAAACCACTGTACCACTGAAGCATTTGAGGTGATGAATCATTATCATTTATATAAGGATTAATAATATGCTACGTTAATTTTATTTTCAAATCTGGAGCTCCCAAAGCAGTCCTGATGATTTTAGAGATGCAACTCCCTTCAGGGTCTGCTAGGTGGTGTACAGATAGGGGAGAAGATCTGATCAGCTCCAGCAGAGAGCAGCAGAGCACTTACACAAAACTGCAGCCTCTCGGCTCTGTAGGACACTTCGTTTTGATCTCTTTGTAGCAAGTATTGAATTTCTATGAAAATCGATTTAAAAAGCAGAAGTACACCAACAAATCCCTTTGCAATGCTACTTAGTCTGTTTATTTGTATTTATAGCTGTAAGGTGCAGGGGCGCTGATGTTACATATTTTAACCAGAGTTCTCTCCAAGTAGGAAGGAGAAACTTTGTTCTCCTGACATACCAGCTTTGTCTCCCCTGCAGGTCGTGAGGGAGTGGGTGGCTAAAACTGGAAAGCTGGCAATGCACCTGCACTTTCACAGTCCTTCACTGCATTTACTAAGAGGAATTTTAAAGAATAATGGGGAAAAAAAAACTCCAATACTTTTGGCTGTTAATATGGCAAGAAGTACTTCTATGCCAGTGAGTGGCACCTGGAAACCCCGTGGTAGCCTCTGCATCTGTCAGGCCTTAGTATTGTACACACGTGCACAGGAAGGTTTCACCAAAAGACAGTAGTGAAGATATTTAGGTTATACTTTTGATGATTTTAGTGGAGGGATTTCATGAGTTTTGGTGTAGTCAGAAGATTTACCGTAGGTTATGCAAGCATAGGTAGGTACCAACAATTTATATTGGTAGAAATGGAGTTGTTGTATCATGGGTCTCATTAAATAGGCCGGTATGTTCCAGGAGGTGGTCTCTGGTAAAAGCCCCTCTCTGAGATCTTCCACTTTCACCTTCCACTTTCTCCTGTGGGGAGTACAGGTGGCTGGGCTGTGTTTGCTGCCTCAGGAACTGCAGATTGCTTCCTGCGACTGCAACAGCCCAGTGCACAGAGCTGCGGTGCTGCTGCCTCCACTTGGAGCTGGTTGCGGAGGGGGGTAAAAAAAAAAGGAGAAGGAGAAAAAAATTAAGATTCTCCCCCAGCTATTGAGTTCAGTAAGGGGGTGGTTGCAGGGAGATTCCTGGTCCGTGTACCTATCCTGATGTAGGTATATGTACCTTGTATGTACATACACATATATGAACATATCTCAATCTACAAACCCAGGACTTCCATACTGCATTTTTGTGTATGCATAGAGAGAGTGCTGGTTTGAAGGCATGGGATTTGCAAGTGCTTTTAAGGGCAGAAGTGACTGCTTTGTCTTTTTTCCTGTGGTGCTGTAGGTCTTATGTCTGTAACTTCAGAACAAAACTTGACCCATTTGTTAATAGTTTTAGTGCTTTTGTGAACTTTTTTTGGTTTAAAAAAAAATAAAAATCCTGTCTGTAGGTGGTAAAATCATCTGTCAGGCAGGTAAGGATTGTAACTAGGTTTTACACTGCCAGAACGCAGAACTGGAACTGGACTTTTTATTCCTTGCAGAGCCATTGTAGAATACAGTATACCTATGGTGTGGTTGTTCAAGAAAGCTGTGTTGAATACTGCTGTTCTGCCTCTTCATAGGGGAAAAAATAGGATTCTGTGTTGGCAGGTTAAGTTCATGGTATAAATAATGTTATTTCTAGAATAGTGGCAGCTAGCAGCTCTTTCATTTTTCTCCCAGACTAATTTGTTCAGTTTATGGGTATCTAATACACAAGTGCTGCGATTACAAGATTGATTTTCAGTGTCATATTTAAAAATGTGTCAGTGAGAAGCATTGGTCAGAATCTACTAGGAAGTATTTACTTTTGGGGTCAAAATCCTGTGTACTGCTTCTTCTCCCCTGTCTGCTTTGGATGTGAGGTTGTACTATTATACAGAGATGTGAACTGTTTTGCTTTACGCATCAATAGTGGATGTCAGGTCTCTGACAGATGATTTCCCACTGGAGGAAAAATTGGTGGCATAGACCACAGGAATCATCTTTTTAGCGGATTTTTTTATATTAAATACAAAGGCTTTGAACAGATGTAGAGACCTGTGATAATGCAGAGGAAAAAAAAACCAACATATCTCCAGTAATGTCAATCTGGAAACAGTGGTTCACTTTCAGAAAGCAACGCTTTATCTTTGAAGTTCATAGCAACTTAGCTAAATACACAGTGTCACAGGGCTGCTAATGCTTCATTTCTCAGTCTATATCCTGCTTGCATCCGAAGGAAAGTAATTTGTAAGACTTGAGTGCGGGAAGCATTATAATCATGTGAGTGTGGTTCTCAGAAATGCACAGTAAATGAACAGTGCTGTCTTGGAGCATGAGCTAGCTGAATTATCTTGTATTCTGTGCTGTAGATGTACCCTCTTGTAAAAGTATTGTTTGAACAGTACGAAAATTAGTTGCTTAGTGTCTCTCCCCACCCTGCTTCTCTTGTTTATGAAGATGTATGGTGGAATTTCTTGTTTCAAGTGGTCTCTTTTTTAAGAGAGAAAAGGGATTGAAAGTCTTATCTAGTAAGAATTCTTGCTTCTCAATCCTCTTTCGGGAAGAACAGAGCAGGAGGAGGAAGAAGCTCAGCCCAGTGTTTACAGACTAGCGTGGGAGGTTTTTGAGATGTAAAGTATCAAGAGTAAGTTGTTGCTTTTTTTGAGGTCTTTCAGGAGTATATCCTGAAGGAAGAAGGGTGGGAGGAGGGAAGGTTAGTTTCCATATATCAGTACGTTCTGTAGAGGGCATGTGTGGGTTCTTTGATTTGTTTGGTGATAAGGGTTTGAAGGGAAGTAAGAGATCAATCTGCAGATACCTAGGCTCAAAATGATAATATGTATCTTCTACTCATGTCTTGATTACTATTTATACACCCTTTCATTATTCTGGATACTTCCAGAGCTATCATTGTGGCCTCAGTCTTAAATTTTATTCTTAGACCACTGTGCCTTCAGTCATCTTAATTGCATGTATACACTGGTATTTGGTTGGTCTTGGTAGGTGCCTTCACCCTGCTGGGGTGCCTGTTTCACATCTCCTAGATGGCTCCACAGACACTCTGCTTCATTGCATGGAAGCTGGGGAACAGTGAACTGTGGGCAGTTGTAATTATCAGTGTGGATGTCAGCCTGTTTATTTCAGTACATACGCTTAGTGAAGAAGTCTGCCCGTGGGAATGGCATTGCAGGATCTGTCCCATATCTACAAACTAATAGAATTCTGTGCTGTCCGTGATCTGTCACCTCCACTGTAGCTGGGAAAAAAAAAAAAAGGTATTGTAGACCGAGATATACAACAGTTATGGGGAAATATTTAACTATTTCTGAAAAGGGATACTACATAAATCACTGAATTAAAACAAAACTGCAGATGAGGATAGTCTCTTACCCCTAGCAGTATTTTGTAAGGCCTTCAAAAAGTATAAAGACAACTGAAATGGCATGTCTTCTTTGTGAAACTGAAACTGTAATTGTTTCAAATACAAGAACAAATTTATCAGTTTGAAATTAAAAAAAAATAAAAATAAAGAAGGCAAACTTTAGCTCTCAGATTAATTGGATGGAAATTGAAAGAGGAAGTAGGATATAGAAGATGGTGTACAGGGTTGGTTGAGCTATCATTTCCCTGAGCAAAGCACTTCCTAATTGGGAGCTGGAAAGTTCTGCAGGTTGCAAAGTAAGGAATAACTGAAGTAACTGGCTGTAGGATAATACAAGTTGTGTATTAGAACCTTGTGGGAAATCAGGAAGGATGACAGAGCCCTCAATATAAAATGGTTAAGACCTTCCACAGACTTTAAGATGCTACCAGACCATGGGGTTTGTGCTGTATTAATTACCCAGCAAGATGTAGTGTTGTGTTTTTTTTTTTTCTCTTTCTTTCTACCTGGGTAACTATTGAGTGTATGCTGACTAATAGCATTTACTTTCTTTCTTTATAAAATGTGCCTGCTTTCCTACAGCTAACAGACAGTGCAATTATGTCAGCTGGTAGAGCATCCTCACCTTGAATGCTGAATTTATTTTATCACCTCAGTTCAGAATGCCAAGTCTGAAAGAAGAGAAAAATTCATGTGGTGTGTGCATGTGTGTAAGGTCAAGGTCTAGGAGAACTTCTCTGAGAACAGCAACATAAAGGGGAGGAGGAATTGTATGATGATAAGTAAGCAAAGTAAAATTGCTCCTGTAGGTTCTAGATAAATTTAAAATAAGTGGTGAATGTTTTCACGTGGTATGTATACAGTGTCCAACAGAGAAGTACTTCTGACCTGAGGAGACTGTCCGTCTTCTAAACATGGCTTCTAAGAGGGATGCCAGCGTTACGTGGCAGTTGCATGCATTTGTGCAGATAAGAATATAAGGTCAGTCTCAGCCCCCTGAAATGAAGAATAACCCCTTTTTGGTAAGAATTTCCTAGTATACTGTTTTGACAAGTTTCTTCCTCTAAAAATAAATATATCAAGTTAAATGGAGGTGAAAGAAATAGCAGAAAATATTCTGAGGGTCTTTTTTTTTTTTTTTTTAAATCCTTTGACCTGCTTATTATCATCTCTTTGGGTTGAACTTTGAGGCATATTGGCCAAGTTGTTGAATAATTAGTCCATTGATAATTGTACCTGAGAAATGCTTACTGTTCAGTAGTATGCTATGACAGGAGGCTAAAAAAAAAAGCTTAGATTGGGTAGATGGCTGAAAGCAGGACATTAGAGATAAAATAAACATTGCAATCAAGTGTAGATTGCTTAGAAATCTGCAGGCATAGCTATAGACTAAGTAATGTAAACTGGCTCTACTGAAGGATAATGACAATTTCATTGAAGAAAATCACTGAAAACCTTAAAAGTATTACGAAATAATCAAAACCACAGTTGCCTAGCCAGGAGGAAAAAAAAAAAAAAGGAAAGAAAAAGGCAAACAAACAAACAAAAACCCTACCCCCCTCAAAATAAACTGACAAGGCATTCCATAACTTAATTGTTAACAACCTGAAGAAGTCCCTTTGGTGTTAATTTTGAACCTGCCTTTTAGAAATTGTTTGGCACGTGACATCTTTATTTTAAGATGGGTTGCAAGTGCTATGCTCCTTCTGGTGGTTGCCATAGACTTCTAGTGTATCTCACCCTGACCATCTCTTCCATCTCTTCCAACATTTGACCCCCCTGCCCTGTCCTTTTGTTTGTACAAACAATAGAAGTTGTTCTATACCTTTGACCATCCTTGATATCCTTATTTGTGTCTTTTCTAGCTCTAACAAACCGTACAGAGTACTGAGAAATCAGGCACACCATAGATTCTTCCATTGTGGCATGGTGCCTAGAGTGTGCTGACTTTGACTTGTGGCTGAATAGCAAGCTGCTGTTCTCAGGCAGCTCCTGGTTATACCCTAAAATCTTTTTCCTGACTCATAATAAGTAATTCAGAGACTAAAGTTGTATATGGAAAGTTAGGCTTTTTTCCATGTCTGTCACATGCTTTACCTGCCATTTTAGTGTCTTATGATTCAGCGTCTCTCCTGCTGGGTTCAGTTGTGTGGGAACAATAAAGTTCAGTTCCTAAAAAAGCTTCTCTGCAAGTTGGTTGGAAACTGTCACAGAGACCTTCCTGAAAACTTACTTTCAATGTCCTTTCGTTTGGGGGACTGAGGGGACCTTGCTTCAGGGCAGAGCTCAGAAAAAAAATCTGTTACTTCCAGATCCTCGATTCTACTGCTGATGAAATGACTTGGAATGCACTAGAAATGTACTGTCTGATAGTCAATGGTTACAGCCTTTCTGAATTAGTGCAAGATGGTTTGATGCAATGAAAGAGTTTCAATGGAAAGGGTTTATTGAGTGGCCCCGATTTCTTTCTCAATGTTGCTGCTAGTGACAAGCAGTGCTACAGGAACTAGAAATGATGTTATTAAAAGTTTTGTGTGCAGCACAGCCACAAAGGATGTGGCTGTGCCTAATGAGGGCAAGAGCTTGGTACTTGCAGTTACAAATTAATTTATTAGGGCTTGGCTATTGCTGCAGAATCTGGGGTCTGTGCTGCTGCTGGCCTGTGTCAAGCTACGATATGCAAGGTGTGGCTTAGAAGAAATGCATAGTTTGCCAAATGCTTGCTGAATGTGTGCCACAGATAGGTTCTATTGGTTGTGTTATAGTAGATATAATCTAAGGATATAAGCAATGCCATTAAGAGATTGTTGTATCTATCTAAACTGTACCAGTCTTAACATGTTAGATGTATCCTACCCATTAGGAGGAGTGAACTCATAAGTGTTCCAGTTCAAAGTTGCCTCCTAAGTATTTTGTAAAAACATTACTGACAGACTATGCTGCCTTATGAAACTATCTTTCCTCTTCCATTTCTGAAATTCAGACTTGTGACCAGCATTTGTGGTGTGCTTGTGTGAAAGCTTTGTAATGATGGAGCTTGTAGAGGGGCTGCAAGTCAGCGTCCATGGCTGTCTGCAGAACCAGGAGCTGTACTGCTCCACCTGCATGGAACAGTGCCTGAGACACCAAGTCCTGTAGGATGGCCCAGCAGCTCCTTTCTCATGCCAAGTTGTGCACAGCTTTGTTCACCTGTAAAGCATGCAGTAAGCATGGCACTTGGCTAGTGTAGTTTGTTGCAGTAATTTGGCCCAGTTTACCCAAGCTAGCTGCAGACAGCTCCAGGTTGACTGTGTCATGATGTAGCTACCAGGTAGGCAAGACTGGCCGTGGAGTATAAAGACACACCCAGAAGATCTGATGCAAAGCCCATTTAAGTCTGTAGGGTTATTTTTATGGAATTTGGATTAGGTGCTAAATCCTGGAAAGGTATTTAAAGGTTCCTTACCTAAAAACCTTTTGCATTTCCCTCAGAGATTCCGGTACACCTTTTGGATCTTCTTGCTGAGCCATTGACCTAAAATATCAAAATATGTTTGTTAGAGTTTTTGGTTATTTATAAGTATTCTGGATCAGATGTGTGATGTGACTACCTAAATTCACATGAGGAATGAAACAAGCAGAGTCTTGTTAATTTTGGGTGTAGCAATTGGATCGTGTCCTTTAATGTTCCTAATGGTAATGGACAAATTATAAGACTTCATTTATTTGGCTTTTCCACTGCATTTTGTTTCAACCTGCCACAGCACTTTCTTTCTTGTAGGAGGCTCTCTGTGTGCATTCTGTTCATGGGCAGCCATTTGGTATTAGCTTCTGCCACTGGCTTATTTCAGGCTGTTCCACTCTGCCCTGCCACCCATCTGTGGCTGGGTGTGGTGTGAGGGATTGGATGGGTTAAGGTGGAAAAGTGGGAATTTGCTGTGTTAGTGTGGCAGCAGAAGCGTCCTGCCCCGCTTTCAAAATGCTCAAGAGTAATGTCGGGTGCACTGATGCCAAGGCCAGTGACAAACCATTTCGCCACTGTGTCCCTTTCCCAGGCAATCCATCAAACTCCTTCCACTTCAGCACAAGTTGGGCTAAGTGGAAGGATTTAAGATGTTTAGGCTGCTAAAGGCTTTTTTTTTTCTGGAGACAATTACTTGGGCTGAGTGTTATGTTTACGCTTCCTCCTTGGAGGAGGACATTTTCTGTAGGCTGAAGAAATGCCTTACCTGTTGATCTTTGTTTCAGCTATAAGGAGAGATCTATCTGTAATAAGCTTGAAACGTACTTTAAGTTTGACAAATGGAAACAATGCCGTAATGTATGTGCTCTTAACACAAGAAATACCTGATCTTGAAATTCTCAGTTTGCTTTTGTCAAGGGTGTCCACTTTGGCTTTGTTTGGAGCGTGGCAAGCTACTGAGTGATACTTGCATTTATGAAAGAAATCTGTTTAAATACTTCTACTTAAATGACTTTTTGTTGTAAGACTATCGAAGTAAATGTCTCATATGCTTCTTTGGCTCTATAGGCTGTGCTTAACAAGTCTCATGTTATTTGATAGACACACACGGATTCACAATCAGTCACTGGGGTCAGGTTTACTCTCCTGAAAGATCACTGTATGGTGAAGAAATGCTAACCTTCATGTAGATGACACTTCCTGCATGCTTTTTCATCCTTCGCCTACCTGATTTTTTTCCTGACTAAAAATTTTGGCATGAAAGCACTACCTCTGTGTAGGTGTTCCTCTGATCCTTCTGTTTTGTTCTTCACCTGAAGCATCATCATCATCCCTATAAAATCAGACTTGGCTCCTGTATGAATAATTAAAATAGTACAAACAGAACTATGATTTCAAGTGAACAGAGCAAAAGTAGATAAAGCACTTCAAAAAATGCCTTTTGAGAAGCATCTCTGTACTAAGAAAGCAGAGTGAAAAGAAAAACTAATAATGCTGTGTGTATAGCACTATCTTTTTAAGTTGTTTTTGGATGTAGTTTTGACATTGTCCCAGGGCTTCCAGCCTGACTTCAAAGGTTAAATGAGACTCGGTAGGTCTGTGTTCATGCTTGCACGTGCATGCCCAGATGCCGCAGAGGGACTCTGTTTGCATGTTTGTGTGTTTGCATGTGTACCAAGGATGGTCAAAATAAAAGTCCTGGGACGTAACCTCTTTGTCCTAGCAGCAAGACGTGTGCTCAGTGTTCTGGGAAAAGCAGAGTGGCGCACAGCCATCCGTGACAGCTATGTACATTTAATATCGTGTGTATATATGATAGATTAAAGAGAAATAAAAGTAGTATTAAGGCTGCAAAGTCAAGCCCTCAAAAAGTGGGAGAAGCCAGAACAAAGGTTTTCTTCAGAGTTTGAATTCCGCTCCTTTATGTGGATTGCATTATCATAATGTTCAGTTGCAGGGCCGAGTGCTTTCTCCCACTCTCCTGTCTTCTGCCCTGCCTTCCACTGTGCATGGGGAGAGAAAATGCAGAGGAGTGCCGGCCCTTCCTCCCTGCTACCTGCTGTAGTAGTCCCTCATCCAGAGGTTGTTACTGAAAGACAGAACCACGCCAAGCTGCTGGACTGCTGGGGAACTGAGGTGCTTCATCGCCACAGCTTTCTGGTGGTGCTTTTCAGTGACATACCACGCAGTTGTGTGACTTGTTTGTTTGTTTTTTATACAGGAAAAAAATTGTGAAGACACAGCTTGTTACCAAATTGACTGAGTCTTCTGAATTTCAAAGCTGTGAAGGCGTACAGTCACTCAAACTCATCAGATTTTCTTTTAATACATCACGTTTGCTTTTGCAATGCCTGAACTGCCCCGCGTCAAACCCTCCTGCCCCCCTTTCTCCCCTCCCGGCCCGTGTCCTGGGCGGGTGTCGTGGTTTAACCCGGCCGGCAGCTAAACACCACGCAGCCGTTCGCTCACCCTCCCCCCTCCCTCTCTGGGACGGGGGAGAGAAATGGAAAGTGAAGCCCGTGAGTTGAGATAAAGACAGTTTAATAAGACAGGAAAATAATAATAACAAAATAATAATAAAAATAATAACAATAATAATACAATGGTGATAATAGGAAAGTAATAATAGTATGTACAAACAAGTGATGCACAATGCAATTGCTCACCACTCGCTGACCGATGCCCAGCCTAACCCCGAGCAGTCCGGCCCCTTCCCCCCCAGCTAGCCACCCCTATATATTGTTTAGCATGACGTCAGATGGTATGGAATACCCCTTTGGCTAGTTTGGGTCACCTGTCCTGGGTCTGTCCCCTCCCAGCTCTTACTGCACCCCCAGCCTGCCCGTTGGCAGGACAGAGCAAAAGGCTGAGATGTCCTTGGCTTAGTATAAGCACTGCTCTGCAACAATTAAAGCATCGGGGTGTTATCAGCACTCTTCTCATCCTAAGCCAAAACACAGCATTCCACCAGCTACTAGGAAGAAAATTAATTCTGTGCTAACTGAAACCAGGACAGCGGGCTGCAGGGAGCCGCGGGGTCCCCTCAGAGCCGCCCCGCCGGGCCGGGGCCGGGGCCGGCCGCCAGGGGGCGCCGCAGGGCCGGGCCGCTGCCGCCGGGCAGCCGGGGGGCTCGGCGGGCTGAGGCGGCCCCCTCGGAGCTGCCTGCCCCCGGTGCCTTGTAATTAAGGCCCCGCAGTTATAAAGGCGCACCGCGTGTGGGCCTAGGCCCGTGGGGACGTGAAGAAATGCTGGTTCTGGGACCGGGACCGCTGACCTGAGGCGAGACCGCCTCTCTCAAGGCTCCACGCGGGGAAAGGTCCGCAGAAAGTTCCGAGCAGCAAGCACGCCTTTGCCAGCTCCCAGCTGAGCGCTGAGAGGGCTCTGCTTTACCTCAGGAGGTGCGGGGTGAATCCCAGTGGCAGAGCCCCACAGCCCTCCGTCAGAGCCGAGCCTTTGGGTTAGAGCTGCGCACCTCACATGGGAGCAGTCTGACCGGCAGGGGTTTTTGTTTGTTTGTTTTTAATGCCTGTAGCCAGTTCAGCATGAAGGAGACTAAAACTAGGTCCCTAAAACCACTAACTCCCGGAGTTACCCAACAGGAACCACCAGGCGTAGGGACCTGCGGGGAATGTAGGCTGCGTGGCTTACACAGCTGTATTGCAGCACACCAAGTCCTTCAGTCTGCTCTTCCAGGGTGTCCTGTAGTTGTGCGCTCTTGGTCTGTAGTGACTCTACGTTAGCTATATAATCCCACTCTGATTCTAGATCCTTTCTTCCAAATATCCTGATTTTAGCAGCCGTTGCTTCCTAAATTATGCCCCGGTCCTGTTGCACCCCAGCACTCTCTGTAAGTTACCTGAAGGGCTACTTCTCCTCATCTTTTTTCCCACAAGGTCTTTGACAGTATAGCTCACCTTTAGCGAATGAATGGCGTCAGTGACTATGCATAGACAAATGTGTTCTCTTGATACAGCTTCCCTGAAAGCACTGTAGGTCTTCCAAATTCATTTAAGGAGAAGAATTAGGGTATCTGTGTAAGGATAGGGCCTGGAAAGGAAACCTTGCTAGCGGGTTAGAGTGTGTCTGTATGTTTTGGGGGTGGGGTGGAATTTAAATATGCAGTGATTGCAAAATGAATGTCTATTTTCCCAGCATTCCTTGATGCTGTGCTGACAAGTAGGCCAGGCTTGGATGTCCCCAGCACTCCGGTCTGGAATAGCGCCCAGCTTTGGAATATAACATGCTTACGTTTGTATCTGGAATACAAGTGGGATTCTCATGTTCAATAATCAGAAGGAGGGAGCGTGAGTGAGGGAAACAGCTGCATGTCTCTGGCACCGTGCTTTGTATACTGACCCTTGTTGTGTAACCTCAGTGCTCCAGAAGTTTGAATCCATTTCAGGAGGTGGGCATTTATTTAGCTGGGAAAAGTGTTAGCTGGTGAATTATTCCAAGTATATAAATAGAGTAAGGGAATCCATCGCTTGTCTGATGTGAGAATGATCTTAAGCAATAAGCACCTCTCACCCACAGCAAATGCAAGTATATTTCAGACCATTCTGTGCTATCCTTCCCCTTCTCCCTAAATGGATTTAGCCAATGGCTCTGTCTAGAAGAATGACGAGAGTGGATGGTTATGATTGCTAGGAGAAATTATTACTACATAGGGAGAGAAAATGTTTTAATAAAAGAATTCAGGAAGAACTAGCCAGTGGCTAGGAGAGGGTAAGAAGCTATTGCAGGGCCAAAAGGGAGCAGCAAAGAATGCAGGTCAGTTATGCTTGCTGGTACAATTACTGAAGAGTTGTACAGAGAATCAGGTAAGGATCAGTCCTAAGGCTTTCTTCTGTAGCTGTTGGCTGCATAGAGGTCCTGGAAGCTGGATTCCCACTGCTCATGTTTGGTGGTGAGATGCTGATGCCTGCAGGAGCCAGGCAGGGAAAATCTTCCCTAAGAAAATAATTTAGTAAACTAGTCTACTTTGTGCAGGCTGGAGCATTGCAGCAGCAGCTGTAATACTGTTCTTTGTAAATGTTTTTACTTTAACAAAATTGTTCTAATGCCTTTAGATCGTATTTCATAAGGGCTTTAGTCATAATAGACACCAGATGGGAGGGAGCATTCTGCTATGTGTGAGATGGGCAAACCCTTTGGGTTTTGCAAGTGAGTGCAGAATTCAGCACGTAGAAGACACTGACCTTAGTAGGTGACTGGTCTTACCCTAACTCTACAGAGTTTTGCTCTGTTTAAAACGGTAGTGCTTGATTGCTCCTGAACATGATAGGCAGCAAAATATTCTAAATGTTACAAGGTATCCTCAGGTATATCTGGTGGCATGCTGTGTTTGTTTTTTTTTTTTTTTTTTTCTGATGTTGAAGATGCCTGTGCTTTCTCTTTCAGAAAGAGATGCTGGAATGCTCCTAGCTGGTTGACCTTTACAACAGAAAAGACACTGGAAAGAAGAGCAAGGTAGGGCACTTGGGTTTTCTGCATGTGGCACAGCTGGCATGATAGACTGTAAACTTCCTGTGATCATGCCATGTTTAGACTTGCATTCTACTCTCAGCTCTTGGGTAGCAATCCTTTCTATCTCCTACCAAGATCCGAAGATGGGTTAAATATGTAGTGTACATGAGTGCTACTTGTAGCAGTGTAGGGGAAAGAGTATGTGGCTGTCAGGCATACCAGTGAACAAGCTTGAGCCTCTATTGTCTGCTTGAGATCACTCGTAGCAGTTATTAACTGTGATTTTTGGGACAATGCCTGTCTAAACTTACACTTGTAGATATTGGTATAAATCAGAAGCAGTAGTAGTGATGAAATGAGTAGTCCCATATTTGCAACACACATGCAGATGAGAATCTGGCTCCGTATATATAGATACAGACACATACATGCACACACAGACACACAAGCAAATCCTGCACTAGGCAGTATTTCTTGGGGTTGCACAAGGACTCTAGAGGATAGTCCTAGAAACAGCCTAACAAGTAGCATCAGTAACAGCAAAAATATGGGCTTTGAATCAAGCATTATCCTGTCAGCCACTTTCTTTGCTTGGAATTTCATAATAATCTTTGACACGTTCTTCTTAGCTGCTTTCTGTTGAGGCAGCACAGTACCAGTGTCAGCAAAGGCCTGTCAACTCAGGCAAAAGCCTCAGCTTTTGTGGAAGATTTGACGCACAGGCTTAGATGTGGTACAGAAATGGATGGAGCAAGAGTTGTATGGCAGAGCTTCCTGCTGGAGAGGTGGCCTCTGTGTTAGAAGGAGGTGGCCTTGACAGCAAAGCTGTTCCACCCTTGGAACACCTTGGGGTGTTAACACACCCCACCTCCCAAAACCCAAACAACAACAAAACAACCCCCCCAGCAACCAGCACTCCACCCTGGGTGAAGCTGTTCCTGTGTAAGGGATTTGACCACTGCAGCTCTCTCTGTTCAAGTGTATCAGCAAAATTCTGAAGGAGAGAATTCTGGCCCGAGAGCCTGTTTGGATTAGGGAAATGTATGTCAAATTAGCTTCACAACTGCAAGTTATTGAGGAGACTTGGGGGAGCAAGTAAATCAGGACTGGCTGTACTGTGACTTAGGCTGCAATTACTTTAATAAATTCCCAAGATCTATTCTGTGTTACACCAGTACCTTGTGTCCACTGAGATTTCCAGGAGTCTGCCAACTTTAAAGTTAGGCTTGTCCAAACCTGGTATTTTAGGCAGGTCAGTCAGTACTTTTTTGTTGTTCCTCTCCTCTACCAAAGTAAAGCTGGATGGGAAATGGAAAAACAATTGCATGACACTTTTAAAGCTGTTTCTATTTCGCAAGTTTTAAAAGATAACAAAACCCGAAGTATTTTATTTCCCCCTTACTTGTGCTTTCTTCTGGCATTTGGCCAATCAGCGCAATGAAATGAACTAGTGCCTTCTTATCCCCTCACTAATTCCAGTCTGCAGTTTACATGGATTTTATTCTTTCCACCTCGACCAACCCTTCAGGTTTTATTTTTCTCATTCTGAACTTTTACAAAGTGAAAGATATTTTAAGTTATAGATTGGCAAGATTAATCTTTTTGTACCCAATTTGTTTTGAAAGTAATGGAACAAAACAGAATGAAAGGAAAAAAAAAAGTGGCATGGTATTTTTTCCATATTTATATGGAAGATGAACTGAAAGCATTAAAGATTTTATTAATTAAGATACTGAAAATAAATGTTTGACAGATGTTAACTAAAAATATTAGCAGGTGGGAAATTTTCTGGGTAAGTTTAATTTTAATGTAGTTGAAATAGATTGGTTTTATTATAAACTGTATAAGTAGTCTGTGTGCTACAAAAGTAACCTGTTTTAATGTATTTATGATAACATCTGTTCCCTTGGCCCTATAAAATCTGAAATACATCTTATAAAAAAAAGAAGTTTGGATACTGAAAGAAAAGTTGTTGTTATTCTCAAGCTGTGTCTGCACAGCTCGCTTCTGCCTCCAGTTTAAATGAATAAAAATACCAATCTCCACAGTGGAGTCACCAGATAGTCAGTGAAATATTCATTCCTTTCTTCGAGGTGGTCCCATTAGTAATGAAGGTGAAGCTGTTCAGATCAAGAGCAAAATTCAAAGTTAACACTCTTTGAATGAATGTGGCAGTTTGTTTTTTCTCCGAGTTGTTAATTTTCTCAGGTAGAACGCTATCACTATTCATTATGCTCAATCCAAATGTTAAACCTGTCTTAGAATCATAAGAATTACGGTGTGTGCTCGGTGCTTATTAGAGATAAGATGGAGCAGCAAGGTAATACATTCTGTTTTCTACTCCTGGGCAAGAGGAGGTCATCATGTTACTGTGCTCTTTGGCCTCAGCTGAAATCTGTTTCAATTAAAAAAAAAAAAAAAAGTGGTTAAAACTGTATGAAGTCAGACCCTCCTGATTCCATCCACAGTGGTGATGTGTAACTTGTTTGGAGGGTCAAATCAGACTTTATGTACTTTACTCCTTTACTCAGGTCACTTAGGTAAGATTCATCCGTGTTACCAGACGGGTACCAGACCTGTAGCATCTGGTCCAACTGACTCGGCAACAGTTTGGGCTGTGGGACAGCCTGCACCTGCCCTGATGTGTACCATTGGCTACTTCCGAGATTCAAGGCACCTTATAAACTGCTTTTAGCCCTGCACCAGGAATAGGTGGAGGCAGGAGGCATAACATTATCTCAGATGAATTAGAGGACCATCTCCATGTCCCACTAATGGATGTAGATGTAGAAATTCTTTTCCCTGCCTTTTAATGGAGGGGAGTGAAAAGGACACCGAAATGGTTCACATCTCTTTTATTTTCCCTAGCTAGCTATTCATTTAAGGAATTACAAGGAAGACAAACCTGTGAGCATGGATATTAAATCTTGCGCTTTAGGAGATAAAGATATGCATTCTTCAGGAGATAAAGATATGCATTTTCCTTCAGAGTCAGTTTGTTCTTTAGCTTGTTTTAGGCAGTTGGGGGAAACTAAAGAACAATCCATAATAACATAAAAGGATTTTCTAACCACCCTAAATAGATTTTCAGCACTCTGTCAGAGCGGAAACTAAAACTTGGAGCCTCAAACAAATTCCATTTCCCCAAACTTTTGAAAACTTCAGAACAGGACCTTAGTGTACTTATCTAGCAGTAGAGACTCATCTTTAGTGTGAAAAATACACTTCTTTTGTCACTTATTTCATTTAAAAATAAAGAGGCTTGAGCCCATATCTTGGCAATATATAATCCAGGAGTAATATGATAGAAAACTGAATAGTGAATACAAAATGAAAACCTTGGGTAGTCAGAATCAGGCCCGGAATGAAGTGAGTCTGAAGGCATCTGAAAACTGTTGCTGTAGCTGTAGAGGGGAGTTTTGCTTTTAGGAAAGGAGGAAGAGGGGAAAAAAAGAAATTGAGGTCACCTTTTAAGAATGTGATTCCCAAAGTTACAAAGAATGAATCATTGGCGCCAATTTTTACGCTGTGTAGCTCCCTGGTTATCTTTGTTATGCTGACTGTGTAAGATTTTTGGTGATGTGTCTGTAGAGAGGCTGGTGTTGAGTCTGTAACATTGACACTCTGATATTGTTCCCTCCCCTTTCAGCTAACTCAACTATTGGTAAAGATCAAAGAAAAGGAGGAGGAGGGCTGACAAGAAACAGTGTATGAGAGATGCCTGCAAAGCTTTAAATAAATAAAAAGGGGTTAAGACTTCAAATCTGTTGCAGGATATCTGTGAAAGTGGGGCCCTGTTTTGCTGTAACAAATTAAAGCTTCTTTCACAGAGCATGCTGACCACTTTTATCTGTATGAATCTGGTCCTTTGAGTATTAATGTATTTGGACAAAACACAGTTGTATATTACTGGACATATCTGGAAATATTAAAGCTGAAAAAAGCATGTGGCTTCTGGTAGACTACCAACTGTTTCTTTTATGTTTCCCTCCACAGCAAAATTAGATCAGTGGCTTTCAGTGTTGCTGTCTAGTTTGTTTCACTTTCCAATTCACAAGAGTTGTGGAATGTGTAAGCAAGAACCTAACCTTCCCTCGCTCCAGAAAAGCACAACTCTACGATAAAACTTAACGAGATAAAAGGAAAAACAGGAGACAATAAACAGAAGGTAAAAACTCTTTCACAGGGAAATGTCCTTAGCCAAAATAGGGCTTTGCAGGGTGAGCAGGAATATTTTTGTCCCCTCACAGAAAGTATCAATGTAGTTGCATTATGTAAATAACAGAAGTGTGGATCAGGATGGTAACAATATGATGTATGCGACATGACACTTCCAATACAGTGGAAAGAAAGGACACTGTTTTTCTTCTACTTGGGTAGAGATCAGCTGCAGTTGTGTTTGCAGGGCCTGGGGTGAGGATGTGGATTCTATCTTCTAAAGCCCTGTTCACTCCAGCCCCGTAGGGGCAGAATGCTTAGGCTTTGTGTTGATGCCTCAGATTTTACTGCAATAGTTTTATGTCAAATCCTGCCTTCCTTTTATACTAAAAAAAAATAAAAAATGTTGACAGTCCAAACAGTTGGCAACCATTTATTAAAAATATGCCCACCTAACATTTTTAGGGTAGACTTATATTCTTGCAGCTTACTTCTAATGTTCTGAGTAGGTTTGAGTACAACTATCAGCAGCTGAGTGAGAAAGTAAGTTCCTAAACTTGGAACTTAGTGTAACTGAGTGTGTTTCAGATGTGTGGGGCTTGAATTGCTGCTTAGGTGTGGTGTAAATCCACATTAACGGTATTTATTAGTGATTTATGGTAACCTAAAACCAGAATAAAAATCATAAATGATCAGTTGATGCTGGAGTGGTGTGTGTATGTGGATATGGAGCTCTCTGTGGTATGACTTAAATGTTTTATTAACATGAGTTTGTGATGGTCCCCTTACTTTCAGATGGTGAATCCACGAATAAGTTATGTAGGGCATTACCAAGGAAATGCCACTCGTGCTCCGTGCCTCTTTTACGGCTCGACCAGTAATCCAAACGCTGTGGAATTCTCCGGGAAGCACGCTGAAGGAAAACCAGGTATGAGCAGCGCCGCATGTCTTCGTTCTCACGGGTGAGACTTCCCACTGTGCTGATAAGGCAGCTCTGGCCTTGGGCTTTTGGGAGATTTCTCTGAGCGAGGCAGTTCTGATAAATTCTCCTGGCCGGTAACACGGGATCAGGCTGGGAAAAAGGCTCATCAACCCTCCAGGCTCACCTGTGGCAGATACCGCTGCTTGTTGGGGTTGCTGCTAGCGGATAAAGGCCCAACATGTGAATAACAGGGGCAGCGAGGGAAGTACGCGTGTTTGCCAAGATGGGATCAAGCCTCTCTCCCCGCAAAGCTGCAAGATCCCCTTGCCTGCTGAGCAGGAATGGGCCTATACACCCAGCCCAACAGGATCAGAGGCTTGTTAAACTTCTAAAACTGACCTCAAACTTTTTTTTTTTGATTCTGTGAGAGCGTCACCATTTTGCATCGGAGCGTCTCGGGGCTTTCTAGAGCACAACTGAACTGAACAGAGCTGTGCTGCCTTCTCCCAGCAGCACAGCTCTGCAGCAGGGCAGCGAGTCCCACCAGGAACCCTCCCCATAGCGGGCCGGGGCGCAGGTCCCTGGCTGGGGGGCGGCAGCTCAGGTGCAGCCCGTGCACCGGCTGCGCGTTTGCGAGGGCTCGGCACTTTGCGGTGAGCCTTTCCTGTGAGCGCTGCGAGGGTGCTAACGCCAGGGGCTGACGCTGCCTCCCGTGGCACCCGGGCTCTGCTGTACGCAGCGATATCAGTTTAGGAGCAGTATCGTGGGCTGCCTCGGAGGGCAGAGCTCGGCGCGGGAGCCGGCAGCGCTTCGGGCAAACCACGTTTTAGGAATTTGAACTTTTTTGCCAACTCGTGCTGGAATTTACCAAGCGGGCAGCGCTGCGCTGCTCCCTGCTCCCTCCAGCGCCGGGCGCTGCGCTGTGCCGCCCACCTGCGGCCGAGCTGCGGCTCCCGCACCGCCTGGCTCCGGCCGGCGGGTCCCGGTGGGTCCCGGCGGGTCCCGGCGGCTCGCAGCGGCTCCGCTGCCTCCCGCCCTGGCAGCGGGACTCGGCTCGAGTTTGCTCCCGTTCGGGGGGGGCCGGGGGGTGCCTCCGGGGCGCGCTGCCCCTTTAAGGGCCGCCGGGCGCACGGGCAGGGAGCGACCTCTGGGCTTTGACAGCTCCCCGCAGGACTCCCCGCGCCGCCGGCCCCGCCCCCGGCCGCCCATTGGCCGTGGGGCCGGCACGGCGCGCGCCCATTGGGCGGCCGCTTGCCCTGAGCCAAGCTTTAGAACTCCGAGCCCCAATATTCGGTTACATTGTAGCAAAATGGCGACTGTCATTCACAACCCCCTCAAAGCGTGAGTACCGCCCGGCGCCCCCCGCCGCCGCCGCGCCCCGCGCAGCGCCCCCCGCCCGCAGCCGCCGGGCCCCGCCGCTCCGCCCGCCGCCCGCCTCCCCCCCCCCCCCCCTTCCTCCTCCTCCGCTCGCGGCGTGCGCCCCGCGGGAGCCGCCGACCCCCCGAGTTTGCGCTCCCCGGGGGCTGCGGGGGCTCCGCCGGGCGGCTCTCGGCGCGTCCCGCCCGGCCCCGGGGCTGCGCGCACTTGACAGCGTCCCGCGGGGCCGGCCCGAGCCGGAGGGGGGTCGGGGCTCGGCTCCGCCGCTGCAGCCCCCCCCGAGGAGTTGGGGCTGGCGGGGGGCTCGCTCCGGAGGCGCAGCGCGGTGTGCGCGGGGCTGTGCGGGAGGGGAGCGGGAGGGCAGGCGGGGAGCGGAGGGAGGGAGGGCGGCGGGCTCGCCTTAAATGAATGACTCGGGCCCGCCGCCGGCGGGTTTGGGGCAGGAAGTCCGGAGGGCTGCTTTGCATATGCCGGGCTTTCGCTTTCCCGAGCGGCGGGGACTCGGGCGCGTCTGCGGCTCGGGGTCGCGGCGAGAGCGGGCGGGGAGCGCCCCGGGGCAGCCACCGGGACGGGGACAGGGACGGGGACACCGGCGGGGACGGGGGCAGGTGCCGGTGCCGGTGCCCGGCCGTCGCCGGCCTCCCGAGCCCCGAACGGGGACGGCCGCCGTCTTCTGGCTCGCGTCCTTTATTTTCCTTGTGGTCCGCGGCGCGCACCGCTAATCCCCGGCGGCATTAGGGAGAGGGGGATTTGGCCCCGGCCGTGGGGCCAGGAGCTGCCGGAGCCTTGCCCGAGCCACTTCGCCAACGGGGGCAGCGCTCTCGCTAACGACGCGGAGCGGAGTACCTGCCGGGGCCGCTTCGTTTGCACTTCCCGGCTGCACCGAGTGGGTGTTTTTATGCCTTTGAGTTTGCAGAGATGAAATTGAGGCTGCGAGTCTCTTTTCTTTTTTTCCTCTTTTTTTTTTCTCTTTGACTCAAGTCTCTCCGCCTGGAGTTGGAAAACCCCTCGGAGGTTTTTTCCAGGGATTCCTGCCGCTGCCTCAGCGCGGAGGGAAGGGAGGGCAGGAGCTGGGAAGGGGCTCGCACGGTCCCCGGCGGGCAGCGAGCTGCCCTCCCGCCTGCCGCCCGGCCCTTCGGTGGCACCGCACCGCGGCCAGCGGGGAACGGGAGCGCAGGTCCCGAGGGGACCGAGCGGGCTCTGCCGGCCCCAACCCCGGTCCCGGCCCCGGCCCCGCCGGTCCCGGTCCCGGCCCGCCGCGCACTTTGCAGCCGCCGGCAACTTCTCGCCCCGGCCGCTCCGCCCCGGGAGGCTCCAGCCCGCTGGCCCCGGGCCCTCGGAAGTGCCCGGCCGGTCCCCGGGAGCAGAGGGAGACCGGCGAGGGGCGCGGAGCCCCCGGGGGGAGCGGGCGCCGCCGTGCGGGCGGCTCCGCTGCGGGGCTGCCCCCCCGGAGGGCCGCGGGGACCCCGGCCTGGCCCCGCTGGGGTCGGGGAGGGCAGGATCAGGCCGGGTCCCATCCGCTCCCCTTCCTCCCCGGGGGGCAGAGGAGGAACAATAGGCACCCGCTGCCGGGGTCGCTTTTCTCCCCGCGCCTCCCAAAGTACCGGCGCCGCGCGGGGTGCGCGTGGGGGAGTTGGTGCTGGCTGCCTGACACCATCTGCATTTTTTATTAACAAGTTGTTTAATAAAACATTTTATCGTTTTCACTTATTCTTGAAAGTTGCTGATCGGGAAACAATACACATGTAAATAAATTATGCATGGGCTAAATTAGGACAAAAGCGGTAGGACACATAATAGGGTGAAGGATGCAGTGTACAGTATTTTATCCTCATGTGTCCTTCCTGACAATGAAAGGGAGCTGAATGACATTTGCATTTCCTCTGTCTGCGTTTTGATTGTATCGCAAAACCCACAAACGCCCCCTACAGAAACTGGCCACACAAAGGTTTTGCTCTCAGATGGGGGACAATGTCGAGACTGAGAAATCCTAGCTCAGGTATCGAGCAGCTCCCTGTGTGTGCTTGTGCATTTAAGTGTGTCCAATATGCAGTCTCTCTCCGGCACTTGGACACATATGTGGCCTCGTTCATGCTAGGCTAGTCCCTCGGGGTAATCCAGTGTACCTGAACATCTGGGGGAATGCATTAGGTAGAACAGCTCAGTCCCTATTAATGATGGGTACTTCCCTACATTCAGCTCGCCTCTTTCTCTACCTCTTCTCAGTTGCCACTTCTCTTTCGGGGCTTTCCTCCCTCTGCTGTTCTCTTCACTTCTTCCAGTGATCCGAACAACCTGGCACAACTGCCTGTTGTTTCTGCCGTTTAATACCTGGTTTACCAACACAGTGCTACAGGCAAAAATATTGGAGATCTAAGTTTAACCGACCTGGGAAACAAGGGAAAGGCAGCAAGCGTCTGGACAAATGCATTCTTTATCTGTGGAAAAGGCAGTACTCAGAGGGCTTCAGTGGGGCAGCAGCGGGTTTGAAATGCTGGATTTGTTGGGCTGTTTTTTCCAGTAGCCTGAGTACTTATCTCAGTGTTTTCTCTTTCCATCTTCCACTCCTTTGAATATCTTAACGTGGAGATATTTGAGCAGGGCAATAGAAGAAACAAATGCTGTTAAATAGTATTCTGAGTGACTTAAAATGTCAGTCAGAAATCTCAGTGGACTTTGTAAACATTAATTAATTAAACCTCTCAACACCCCTGTGAAGAAAGGATTATTGCCTTTGTTTTATGGGCAACTAAACTAGGACAGAGTGGTTAAGAAACTTTCTAATTCAAAGATCGAGCCTAGAACGCAGCAGTTCGGCTTCCAGCCCTAGCACCTCGTCACGTTTTCCCCATCTCTGCCTTATTAGTGATGTGCATATGGTTCCATAATGCATTTAATGTAATTAAGATCTTGTAATTTACAGAGTCTTATCTAGAAGCGGAGCTGATTTCCCCCCACCCTTTCTCTGTCTTTACTCCCACAGCTGACTTTTATTTCAGGTTGTCAATTAAACATACTCACTGCAACATATGTTAGGCTATTGCCTTTTCTGCGTGCGAGATTCCCTCATGCTGTAGCTCTCTGCCTGAGCGCGCACGAGAGGAGCTGCTGCCGCTGCGTAGCCTGGCCTCAGAGTAAGTAGCAGTGCCGGTGCTCTCCTGTGCTCTCGCTCCAGACAGCCCGTGGGGCAGAAGAGGCGAGCTGCGCCCCCGTTGCGAGGCTGGGTCACCTACCTGCTGGCCGTGCTGCTGGACAGCTTTGATGTGCGGGAGGAGTTTTATTCCCAGCCGGGTGTTCGGGGAGCGTATCAGTGCGGTGTGGTGTGTACAGCGCTGGAGCTGACCTTATAAACTCTACCAGGCCTGTTGTGTGTCTGCGCTCCTGCTGCAAAGAGTCAGCAGAGGGTGGTTTTTCAGTTGCTGTGCCTTCTCAGATAAAACTGCCTTGACAGCCCGCTCTGGCCCCTGGGCTGCCAGTTGGCCATCCTTGTGATGAATTCTGTGGCATGAGGCACCTGTGGAAAAAAGGCTCGGTGCTCACATCCTTGCTTAATGTCAGCAGCAGACCAGGGTAGGTCTTTGGGTCTTGTATGGCAAGAGTATTTCGTAAGTGTTAACTTGGGCTGGAATTCAAGCTAGGGACTCAGAACTGTTTCCACATCCTGTTACCCACCCCTGAAACAACCCTACGTTGTGATTAAGTGCTTGTGAAGACTGATATATATATATATATATATATTTACATATATATATATATATATATATATATATGTAAATACATATACATATTTTTTCCCCTGAATGTTGTTGCATAAGCATCTGGTTGCTAATTTTTAGTATTAAAGTGAAAGTATAATGTGCTGTGCTTTTATCAGCAGGTGGAAGCAGAGAAATAGATGGACAGTTAGGTTGCCAGTTCAGTGTTTACAAGTGATGTGAAGGTGATTTTAATATGGCTTTGCAGAAGGGAGTTTTCTTCTGCTTGACAGAACAGGGTTGTTGGACGCATTAAATCATGTACCATAATCTCTACAATGTTTCCAGTATGGCTCTGAAGTCACTTAAAAACATAAATGAACCCTACTGTGACACATTTTGAGCCAAAACTCTTGCCCACATGAACGTTCTCTTTTCTGTATCCCAGCACCAGTCTTCAGAGCAAATGATGGATGAATGTTTTTGTATTTATGCAGGGAAACATGAGCATAAGAACAAAGTTGTTGGGGGTGAGAGGGGGAATAGAGAAGCCAAGTTATGAAGACCTGAGGATATGCTGGCTTGAATATGGGAGAGTCTGATAAATATGTTACTAGTTACAGTGTTTTGTCTGGTTGCATGAGTAACTTGTACATGGTTAGTTGTTGTAGGTCTTTTGTAATTTTGTTTTGTTGGTGTGGATGGATGGAGCTTGTGCCATAAAATTGTCATTAAAAAAAAAAAAAAGATTTTTAAAACATGCTCTTTGTGGTGTGTGAAAGCAATGTTGAACTATCTGGGGTGGGCTACAAAGAGCCAATTTTTTTTTTATTTTTTATTTTGGAGGGTGTAATCGTTTAAAGGTAAGCATGTGTCCAGTGGTCTGGGTTCATGATGCCCATTATATTGGATCCACAGTGTACGACTGGGAACAGTTTACCAGAGCATGCACGAGTGCAGCACATGAAGCACAGTGGGGTTCTGTCTTCAGAGGGAGCTGTGGTGGACTCCAGCGAAGGTGATGCGGCTCATCTGTTGTGCAGCCTCATGAAAATTAATTTCTTCCTCTGCTCTCCTGAAACTGCAAGTGTGGTTTTCTGGGGTTGCTCTCAAGAATAGACCTTGTCCATCTCATTGGCTGTACCACTGCTGTCCAGAAATGAGACATCCCAGTGTGTTTGTTGTCTGGAATAACGCATCTTTTAGGATTATCATTTGCTGAGACTGGTGTTTTCTCACTCTGGTTTGCCTTTCATGTCAGAGCTGAAT